ACTACTGACCCATATGGCCCAATCCAAAATGCCCCCAAATATCTAAATTCCTATCCACTAGCTTTCCAAAATTGTCTTCCTTCATTTTTGTGTTCTTGTCTCAGATGTGAATTATGTTGAGCTTTCATCAGCTCCTTGTTCCATTTGCTTTGGGTCAACGATGCCTTCAACTCTTCCATTAGTAACAACTCAGCTTATCAAGGTAACTCTCTTCCTCTACTCTTTGAAACATTCTATTTTGCTTGTTGTCTGCTGAGCACTTATTTATTGATGCTTGATTTCAGAATCACTTTTACAACATTGCTTCGTTATGATCAGGTAAACCTCTCTACTTTCTTCCTGTCTCTTCTCTTTCTTCAATTTCATTGATCTTTTATTCTTTTAGCAGCTGAAACGTTAGGTCCTTCGTCAATGGTCGTCTTCACCGCTCCAGGTTCTCAACTCCCAATCTGACTTTGTTGGTCTTATCTCATGCTCGTAACACTTTCTATAAACTGTAATAGTTTAGCACAGATATCCTAGTACATTTAAATCTCACTCTTTTGTAATCCCTTCTGTGGCAAGAGATTCTTTGAATGCTTTAACTTTGTACACTGTCATGATTATTCTGCTGCACTCTTATTCTTCTTGTTTTTATTCTCAAAGTAGGGATACCTGATTTATCTGCATTTAAAATACTCTTGCATTCACCTGATAACTGTTGAAACTTCTCCCATTGTTTTAGACCAGTGTGCGTATATGCTTCATTGACCAACTTGTCTGCTAGCTGATTAACTTCTCTAAAAACATGTGTAATATCTGTTTGTATGTTCTCTATAATTTCCTGAATCTCCTCCATCTCCTCTGCCTGATTCCATGGAATTTTCCACTAATTTCTTATCATTTTTATGACCCCAGTGAATCTGTCTCAATCAACACTTTGTTGATTTTCTTAATTTTACAGTATCTGAAGGCTTTTAGGATTGCCATTGTTTCTGCCTCCATATTAGTCCTTATGCCAATCTTACATGCTTCTGCATACATCAGATTTCCTGCCTGATTTCTAACACAAAAACTATATGCACTTTCCCCCGAATTTCCTCTACTTGCTCCATCCGTGTTGCACTTCACTCCCCTCTCTTGAGGCAGTCCCCAACACACAGTATGATAGTGTAACTTAGGTCTGTAGTCCTTCATAACCCCTAACATTCCTTCCCAATTTCTTGGGATCTGAATCCAAGGGTAAAGATGTTTAATCAGCTTGTACACAGTGTCTTGACATTGTTGATGCAACTTATAATAAGACACCTCATTCCCATGTCTTCTGTCATTTCTCCTCTTCCAAAGCTCCCACATAATAATGGCAAGAATTGCTTGTAATATTGATCTCATCTTTGACTTATTCGATGCTCCCCACCAATTAGTAATTATCTGTTGTAGGCTTCCCTCCATGCTAATTCCTGCACAAGTAGCAAATTGCTTCCATAGTTTTTGAGCTATGGAAGCTGTTAGAAAAAGATGGTTCATAGTTTCCTGGTCATAGTCCTCACAACAATAACATCTGGATGCCACATTAATCTTTATCTTCAGGTTGTCATCTGTAGCTATTCTCCCCTTCCAACACCTCCATACAAAGAAACTAATCTTGAAAGGAATTCCATTACACCATATCTTACCCTCACAACCAATTAACTTCATTCTTATGTCTAGTCCCTTCAAACGCTGACTTTACAGTGAAATTCCCACTCGAACTTCCCATCCACCATGTTTTATCCTTTTTACCTTCTATAATCCTAGGGACAAAACTTTCCACAATAAATTGGACTATCTCTTCTGATAACATACTTCTCAACCTTTGTATGTTCCAACTCCCCTGCTCTATCAGCTCCTGAACTTCTATTTCATCATCAATCTTACCTTTCTCCTCTATATAATAAAGTGCTTCCAATTTTTTCCAATTATCAAACCAAAAACTCACCTCTCCAGCCTTTATTTGCCACCATATGTCATGCTCTATCTCATCTCTTACATGAATCATCTTCTTCCAAGCATGTGAAGCTCCTATGCTTTTAACCATTAGAGGATGAAACTTCTTGCAGTATTTACTCCACATGAAAGAGCTCCATAATGAAGTGGAAGTTCAAAAGTTCCACCATAGTTTACAGAATAATGCTTTGGTAACATCATGTATAGATCGAAAACCCACACCTCCTTCAGCCCTAGGAAAACACATGTCTTCCCATGCTACCCAATACTTTCCTTGCTCCCCACCTGTTTTGCTCCAGAAAAAACCAGCGAACAGTTTATGCAACTTCTCAATGACTCTCTTTGGAGGGTTCATCGTTAATAACAAATAAATTGGCATAGACTGAAGCACATTTGCTATCAAGATGTACTTTCCTCCATATGACAGACACTTGTTCTGCCACATCATTAGTCTACTCTGCACCTTCTTCACCAATTCTTCAAAGTGTTAAACCCTTTTTCTTCCATAAAAAACTGGGCAGCCTAGATAAATAAATGGGAACGAGCCCTGCTTTATACCTGCAATTCTCCTTAATCTCATCCCAACAATTAATGGAGTATCATCATGCAGATAAAATAAACTTTTATTTAAGTTGACCATTGTCGGAAATATTTTCATATCTCCTCAACACTCCCATCATCTTACGAATAGACTTTCTCTCCCCTGAGCAAAAGAGTATTGTATCATCTGTATATGACAAATGATTAATGGGAGGACTCCATTTTGGCATTCCATAACCCCTGAAATCTACATCTTTATTCAGATTGTTTAACCCCCTGGCTAAAACTTCTGCAGCTATTATGAACAATGTTGGAGATAAAAGATCTCCTTGTTTGAGCCCTCTTGTCAACTTAAAAAAACCATATGACTTTCCATTAACTAATATTGAATACCAGTTATTCGAAATTAGCCTCCACACCATATCAATAATGATTTCAGAAAATCCAAAGCTCCTTAGCACTTTAATTAAAAAGAACCAAGAGACCCTATCATAAGCTTTTGCCATGTCCAACTTTACTACCATATTGTGATATTTCTTCCTCCTATTTATATCCCTTATTATCTCCTGAGCTAATAGAACATTTTCTGTAATGCTTCTCCCTTTAATAAAACTTGACTGGTTCCTTGAAATAATATTGGGTAACATTTTCAAAATCCTTTCATGCAACACTCAAGAGATGATTTTATTTGCAAACGTACTTAAACTCACTGGTCTAAGATCTGTGAAGTTTACAACTCTCTCCTTTTTTGGGAGTAACACCAAATTCATGTGAGAAATAAAACGAGGAATCTGCTTACCACAAAAAAAGGCCTTCACCATTTTGGTAATATCCTCACTTATAAGCTCCCAGCAACATGGGAAGAATAATCCCGAGAAACCATCTGGGCTGCTTGTACTATCTCCGTTCAAAGCAAAGACTACCATCTTGACTTCTTCCTTAGTTGGCATATGAACCATTTCCTTATTCTGACTAAGGGTAATCAATTTGGGAATAAGCCTCAACAAATTTTCATTTTCACTTGTTCCTCCTTCTCTGAACTGCCCTTCAAAATAAGAGATTGTCGTTGCGTCAATCTCATCGCTGCTATTCACTACATCACATTGTTCCGTTTGAATTTCCGCCAGGTGCAGTTTTTTCTTCTTCCTTTGACATAATTATGGAAAAATCTAGTATTCTCCTGAAACCATCTCATCCCAGCTTTTTGTTTCCAAAATTCCTCTTCCAAGTAGAGAATTTTTTTAACTTAGCTTCTGACCTTTTCAAATCTGCCCTATTTTCTTCATTCGTATTAATCTCCAATTGTATCTCCTTGACCTTGACTTCATCCTCCAAGGTTGCAACCTTCTGAAATATGTTTCCAAAAGTAACCTTGCTCCATTTCGCCAGCACCCCTTTCACTTTTTTCATTTTCGCCTGAAATTCAATAAATGGGCAGCCCACAAAATCAATTCTCCAGTTTTCCTCAATAATCTGCTGAAATTGGGGATGCCTTGTCCAGAAATTGAGAAACTTAAAAGGTCTGCTTGTCACTTCCTCCTCCGAATTACATATTACATGTAAAGGTGTGTGATCCGAACCTTGTCTCACTAAATTATGAACTTCACTAGTAGGTAACATATTGTTAAACTCCTGATTTTCGAAGACTCTGTCAAGTCTCTTAAAAATATTGTCTCTTTCAATTCTACCATTCCACCAAGTAAACATGCTACCCACAAACTTAAGTTTTGTTAGAGCACAGTTATTAATGCATTGACTGGAATCCAAAGCCTCAAACTGAGTAAAATCTAGTCCCCCAAGTTTTTCCTCCTCATTCAAAATAACATTGAAATTTCCTCCCACCATCCAAGGTATATTACTATTAGCAGATAAAGCCTCCAGTTCTTCCCACAACTCCAATCTTTCTAATGCATCACACTTAGCATACACTGCAGTACAAATCATCTCCACATTGTTTTTGCTCAACTTCAAGCTTATTTGTTGTATACTATCACTCACCACTTCACCCCTCCAACCATCATCCCAAAAAACCCAAATTTTCGCAGATACATTGCAATACGCATTTTTAAATCCTAACTTTCTTTTGTAATGATCTAACTCTTTTGGATCTTGAAAAGATTCCATAAGAGCTATAAAATTATATTTATGACGCCTATTTACACCCATTAATCTCTCAAAAGCCTTTTGAGATTTAATCGATCTAATGTTCCAAAATATAGCTTTTCCAATCATTGGAAACTATCTTCCGACGATCTCTCTTTACTACTCCTTGTTTTGACTTGAAGTGGAACTGTATTTTGACTTGACTTCGATCGTTTAGCTCCACTCTTCAATAATTTTATTTGTATTGGAGATAAATCCCCATCCCTTACCACCTTATCAATATTTTTATCAAAATCATCGTCTTCCTCCTTATCCCTTCTTTTTTGAATTTCCTCCGATGTCAGCTCTTGCAAATCAGGAAAATCATCCCCCTGAATTCGATTCTCCCTCCTCTAATTCTCAGGTAAAACTTCATCGTTATCCTGCACCTCATGAAATTCCACCATCTCCAAACATGCATTCCCCATATTACTACTTCTGGCATCCTGTTCACTGCATTTTTGTTTCCCGATTACCTCAATGTTTTCACTATTCTTAAAGCTTTCACTCCCTGCCGTCTCCTCTTCATCTACACTGTTTATATTCTCCACTGTATTTTTCAAACTATTCCCCTTATCTATTCTGCTTGTGTTTTGGAACACTTCCTCAACCCATTTTTTCGTCTCTACCTCCTCCCCCCTTTCCTTTTGTCCACCTTGTGTCTCCCCACATTCATCCTGATCTTTCAGCGCTCTAAACTTATTGCCAGTCGTAATTCCCTCTTTCTCGTGTTGAATATTTTTCTTATGCCATATCTGTTCTGGTTTTCCACCCCCTGTCGACCCCCTCCTGCTCCCCTTCTATTAGTATGAATCTTAAATTCCTCACTTTCTTTTCCTAAAATATTACCCTCCCTCTGGACTCTCCCCTTCCCCTGAATCTCCCTTTTTTCTTCCCCCGTTTCCATCTCTTCTTCCTTCCCTACTTTTTCCTTGGGATATAAATCCGGATGTAACACATAACATTGCTCCTCGTCATGACCCTGAATCTTACAGTTCTTGCAATATTTTGGAACATGATCATATCTTATTGTAATCCATTTCTCTGTAATCTCCCCTGATTGCTTTCGCATCCCTACGTTTATTCTTTTTGGAAATTCACGTAATAAATTCACCTCCACCCTCACCCGTGCACAACTAGGTCGAGTCTGATTCCTTGTTGTTAGATCAACCTGTAAAGGTTTTCCAACTGCAGCTACTAATGAAAAAACTACCTCCTTCACAAAGAAATTTGGAGGCAGGGATGGAAAAGAAATCCATGCCATGGCCGTTGATGTTTCCTCCTCCGGATCAAACATTGGCTCCCACTTCAACGTTTGCATTGGATATGTCCAACCACGATGCAATATGTAAAAGGCCGGCTTTGATAATAGATTCACGTAGTCCTCCAAGCACGATGCCCTTATCAGAATATGCCTATTGCTTAACAATCCTATGTTGCATTCACCTTTCAACTCGCATTGCTTCGGAATTAATTTTCTCAAATCTTGAATCTCAGGCCAACCATAGGAAAATTTTCCTATCACTGCATACTCTGAGTTCTCCTTCACGATTATATGTTCAACCTCTTCTTCCTCCCATACTATTCTTGGTTCACCATGCAAATACACAATAGGTTTCAACGCTGTCGCATTAGCTTCCCTTGATGGTCTTACAACAGCTAAAAAATCAAGCCTAGAAGCTTACCTATTGTTAATATACTGGACATTATTTTTTCCCTTATCTTCTTCAATAGTTTTTTAATACAATAAATAAATGGAAGAAAAGATTAAAAAAAAGTAAGAAATAAATAAATAAAAATACTGACCGTAAAAAGGTATCACATCAATTTTTTTATTCTTTAGCTGATTTTTTCTTATTAATAATGGATATTAGATTTTTAAAATAATTAAATGAAAATAATAGTGAAAGATGTCAATAGAAAATACGAAAAAAAGTTATGAATAGTTGTTATAGAAAAGTATCATATCGTCTTGTATATGCTTAATTTTATGTGTACATACGATATAGATAATCAAAAAAATATAAGAAAATAAAAATAATTGATGGGACATCTATTAATAATATTGAGTTATCTATTATGTAGAATAAATATAAAATTGAATACTTTCACTTTCATGGATAATGCATTTTTTTCTTTCTTTTTTCCAAACAAAAGGTATTATATACATTTATAAGCTCGTGATAATATATATATATATATATATATAAGGGATGAATTAATCAACTTCTAACTACCATTAATATACAAAGAAGTTACTAATTTACTTGAATGATATCTTTATTAAGAAAAATTAAAAAATTACACTTAGTGAATAGTTTGACTCTTGCACTACTCATAACAATTATAATGTATAATGCATGCTATTAATTTTATGAACAAATGTAAATGACTTATTTTTAATTGTAGACTTCTTATTTTCCTTTTAACTTCTTGTTAAGAAATTAATTTTTGCCTATATTTTTTAGTCATAAACTTCAAAATAGTTTTCAAACTTGCACCAATATCAATCATTATGATTAATTGAACAAAGTTAATCTAAGAAAATTATATATCATAAAAGAAATTGAAATAAAACAAGAGCAGAATTTATTTTTATGAATTTAAAATTGAGTGCGTAAAATCACATAGAAGAAATCTGTTGTATGTACCAAGTTTCTCAATATAGATGACATAGCATGAATCATTAAAATTTAACAAATGTTGAGCAAAGAATAGTAATGAAGCAAAAATATAAAATTTGCAACCAATAAGATGAGAAATCTTAGCCTATGAAGAAATTTTACAGAGAATAGAACACATATAGCAAGTGTAATTAAGATAAATATTCATCAATACATGATCTCATTAGATAAATTGCTACTACTCCAAAAAATAAATTAAAATACATTGAAAATTATGTTGAAGCATTTCCTAAGAACAACTAAAACTAAAATAAATTCATGTATGCATAGTTTGGTAGTGAAAGGTATATATATAGGCTAATTTTTGTATTTTAATCTCCCATCTTTTAATACATTATTACTCCACATTAATGAAATTAATTAAAAAATATATAATTAAAGGTGGATGAATCATATAAAATCTCTAATTAAGAAGGTAATTATAGTGGTAGGTGAAAAGTTGATTGAATTGAATAAATATTTTTTAATTATAAAAATAAAATAAATAGATTTATCTCCCTATCTTTTAACATGTTATTACTCTACATCAATAAAATTAAATTAAGAATTATAAAAAATTAAATTGGAAGAATACATGAATATATATACAATTATAGTGGGAGGTACATATACCTCAAAAAAAAAATCTATTAAAATGATTTTAAGATGTTACAAATTTGTACATTAAAGAATTGAAAGTTATGAATATGAAAAGTTTGAAAGTTATGATTTTATTTATTAAGGAATTATGAGTTAAGGGGATGCTTTTACAAAATAAAATAATTAAAGATATTAAAAAAAAGTCAAAAAAATGAGATAAAAGATAAATAAGAATGGTTATCAAAGAGAAGTGGCACATCACCTTGTCTATGTTTCTCTTTATATATATATATATATATATATATATATATATATATATATATATGAAAAAAATCGTGATATTGCAGAAATGAGATAAGACAATGCGTTGAACAGTTTGTGTAAGACATTCCTTTCCCCGTAGGAATTGGAAAGTGAAAGTCGGAACCCCAAAATAGTTTTAATTTGTTATCTGGAACTAGTTTAGCCTGAGAAGCTAAAAGCAAATTACGTCTATGAAAATTATTTACATAGCCTCAGAATATGGTAAAATGAGTTATATTTTGTTGCTAAAGGAAACCGAATTAGCTTTAAGCTGGCAAAAGATCTAATGAAGTCCTCCTAATATGGATTATGTAGGAAAAACTACATAAATGGACCATAAAACATAAAATAATTACAAAGTTTTAGCCAAGAAAACACTACTGCATCAACGACTCTAATGATCACCAAATGTAAAAAAAAATTCAGTTCCTAAAGAAGTTACTCAAAATACTGTAGATTTCATTAAAAGCACAACATTTACTGTTTACAATTTCACCTTTGTCCCCACACGCACTCTCCAACTCCCATGCGGAGGAAAAAATATGAACACACAGTTGAATAAAAGAATACAACTTTACCCACCTTCAAAATGCACATTCACACGATATACACGACACATCAAAACATTAAACTTCTCATAAACAAACCTACAAGGAAATCCTCAAAGAAGCTAACTGCGGTTAGCATCTATGGGAGTGCCTGTTCTAGCCTGTGATATTCTATTTGCATAAATAGTCACCAATCTCAACTGTGTGCTGTTTAGCCCTTCCAAGTATGGCAAAAATGCTTTGCCCAGCATGATGTATATGTCAACTAAACAGAACACAACAGTCTGCCAGCCAAGAAAAATATACATTTCAGAAAACAGCTTAATTGATAAAACCACAAATAAGTACAGAATGTGAACTGTATTTATCTCTTCATGCTTCAACAGTATACAAGACACTAATCTGAATATAAGCAATCCAATTTAGTTATATCACAGCCTCAAAGCTTGTATTACTAAGGTTTACTGCATGATTTATTTCTTTTTTTCTTTTTCATTTCTTTTGGGGATAGGTACAAGGTTTTATCTGATGACCATATATTTTACAAACACAGTGAAATGATGACGTCTGGGGCTCAATGCATCTAATAAAGGAATAGGTATTAACACTGAATGATTATATTGCATACCTAATGCTACCAATCCACTATTACTGATTTCATCCTTAATACTAGAAGCTTTTCTGGGCTCTAAAGAGAGAAGAAAGAAAACAGAGGGAAAAGGTAATTGGCACCTTGCGAACATCTGCGCTCTGGTTTCCAAAAGCATCAAACAGGGCAGGTAAGAATGTAGATAGCTGAGACATCAATTCTTCCTGGGTAAACCTCCCCACAAGCTGAAGAAAGAGGCACAAGTTCAAATCACTAACCAATCACACCATAGCTTTTCCAAGTTTGACATACTGTAGAGCAATTACTACTATTTTTCACCAAAAAATAAACTAGACACAACACTCTAACGAGTTCAGAAGTCAGATCCAATCAGCAAATTACCTTTGTCAAACAGTTAATACAGGTTACAAGAGTCTTCTCGTCTTCTGTGACAAGCAAAGGAACAACAACCTGTGACAGCAGCAACTTATCAGAAATAGGATTATCAAAATGAGTAGGCCATGAGATCCGAGTGAAAAAGAAAAGAAAAAACCCAGATATCTTGCTATGCAAATTCAAACGGAACACCAAAACTCACACTTAAGCATCTAAATGAATCATACTGAGACAACACCGTAGTTAAACAATGCTCAGCTTCATTTGAAACCTGGACAAATATAACAACACATTAGAAAGGAGGGACGTAAATTTTCAGCATAATAACTTCATCTAAGTGAGTTTACTTTTGGAGAAACATCCTTGGTTACGTTGAGCAATTTCTCAATTACAATCTCGACTGAATCCTCCATGGCATCTCTCTGGAACAACAGAAAATAGATAACGTAAAATGACATTACACAAAAAGATTAAAAAGAAGCAGACAATTCTTATCTATAGCTTAAAGGGATGGAACAAAAATAAATTTGAAAAGCGACAAAAGACCTGATTCTTCAGCATTTCAACAATCAGAGATAGGGCAAGTTCTCTTATTGATGACGCAGAATCATCTAGCACCTCGAGTGCAGCAGTCAATATCTGATTGAAGTACTGCAGTGAATGAAAGATGATAATTCATGATAAAATCCATATTTTTTAAATTAGCAAAATCAAAATTTGATATTCACAAGACCTTTCAAATAAAAGGTAACAACTGAACTCTAACTAGTTGGAATATTAAAAAAGGAACTAAACTACATGTTATTCACAATGTTACATGAGGACTTAAAATCTACATAAAGAGACAGCAATAACATACAGATAAATCTGTGACTAATATACCTTGCTCCATATGGATTGATCTTTGGTAACAGCTTCAACTAGTTGTTGAAGTGCACCATGCTTGTTGGCAGCAGGACTATCATCATTGCCATTACAAATCTGGAAAAGGTGCCAGAGAAAGCAGGGTAAGGATTGTGATAGTTTACATCCTAAGTTTTTGCATAAAAGATTTGAGAGATTTATTAACCAAGGAAGAGGAGAATCACAGAGAATTTAACAATAAAGTGTAACTCAACAGGCATAGGTTGACCACGGAGAACTCACTGAATGAAGAATCTGAGGAATGCTTGGTTCAGTTGCTGGAGTTAAGTTTATCTTCAGAGCAGAAAGTTTCAGGTGATTAAGTCCCAAATCAGATTCATTATCAGCTGCAGCTAGATGCTCCGAGTCAATTAACCCATTAACCTCCAGACGGGTTGTGGAAGTGTGCTCCACGTTTAAGCTGTCGTCATTGCTTTTCTGTGGATTAGCCCATAATCCATCACTCCCACTTGCGGTAAGGGCCAAAAGTTTTGAATCCTTGGCTTTTGAAACAGGAAAATCAGAGTTGGCACCAGTTTCAATACCATGATAGAAGTCTTGAGTATCATCTGACAATGAGTGACCTACAGAGCTAGTCATATAGGTCGAGTCTGGAACAGAATTCCACTTTCTGGCACCATCACTATCAACTGAACCAGCAGAATACCTTCCAAATAAATTATTTTTCTTTGAAGCTCCTACATA